ATATCCTCATCTAGCAGTTCAAATTGTATTGGCTTGTAATCATCAACAGCCCTATCAGCTAGAAAATTGGCTATGATACTTCTTTTGATAGCCTTTTTATCTATATATACAATATCATATTCAAAGAATATGACTTTTCACCTTGCTATTTTTTTTTTATAAAGATAGCTTTTCAAATATGTACTTGAGGGGATCTAATTTTGACATTAAGTAGATTGTATGATACAGCATGTATTGCTTGAGCTGGTAAGTAGTTGATGCCAAAGAACAACACATCTTCTCAAGTTAGGAATACTTAACTTTATAATCAGTAAATTTTCTGCTTAGGTAATGAATGTCTTGTTCTTTCTTGCCTGTTTCATCTATTTGCCCTAATACACATCCCATAAAGGCTTCATTCATGGTTAAGTACAATATTAAAGGTTTTCTTGCCATAAAGGCACTAGCAACGATGAATTCATCAAATATTCTTTAATTTTGTTGAAGGCATCCTATCATTTTTCATTCCATTCTCTGGGATCATATTTTTTCAACAGCTTGAAGATGGGTTCGTATTTTACTGTGAGCTAAGATATGAATTGTGCAATGTAATTTAATCTCCCCAAGAAAGTCCTTACTTTTTTTTTTGTCTCCTAAAGGGAGTTAGCTTTGTAATTATTTGAATTTTTTCAAGATCTACCTTAGTTCCTCTCTCGCTAACCACAAATCGCAATAACTTTCTAATTTCACCCCAAAGTGCACTTGGTCGTATTCAATTTGAGTTGATATTTGCAGAGTCTTTCGAAGAGTTTTGTAAGGTTCTCTACATGATCTTCACCTTTTCAAGACTTCACAATTATATCATCAACATAAACTTTTATTTCTTGGTGCATTATATTATGAAACTGGGTGACCATAGCTTTCTGATAGGTTGCATCGACATTCTTTAATTCAAATGGCATAACCTAATGATAGAATGTTTTCCCACATTGTCACAAATATAGTTTTCTTCATATCTTTTTTTACCATCTTGATTTGATTATATCCAGAAAACCCGTCCATGAAGGAAAATAGTAAATGCTTTGTCATGTTGCCAACTAGAATATCAATATGAGGCAATGAAAAATTATTTTTAGGGCTGGCCTTATTTAGATCCCTATAGTCCACACACATTCACTTTTCCATCATTTTTTAGTATTGGAACTACATTAGCAACCCATTCTGGATATCTAGCCACAACTAGAAAGCCAGCGTCAACCTGTTTCTTAACTTTTTTTGATTTTTAATGCCATTTTCGGTTTCATACATCTTTGCTTCTGTTGTACTAGTTTACAATCTGGGATTAGTGTCAATTTATGCTTTACAATATCCGTGTCAAACCCTGGCATATCCAGGTATGATCATGTAAACACGTTCATATATTCTCTGAGCAATTCCTCCAATCTTCATATTTCTTCTTGTGGAAGAGATGTACTTATCCTTATCTCCTTTTCATTCTCATCATTCTCCAAATTAATCAAATATACAAGCTCCTGATGAGATTTTATTATTTTCTCTTCTTGCTTAACCAATCTTATCAATTTAGGAGGTAAGATGCAATCTTCTAAATCTTCATCATCAGGCCCATTAACTTGAACAAAATTCCCAAAACTAAACTCGAAATAATCGTAATGATCATCTATGATGTTCAGTATTTGGAAACCTAAAAACTAGTAAGATTGCAAGAATATAGATAGAAATTTTGGTAAAGAATGAAAAACATATTGGCAAAAATAAAAAAATGTTAAAAAGAAGTGGGTGGAAATGGAAAAGATTATGTGATGAAGAATGTGTTACATTTAACATTTTACTAATGATGCTGAAAAAATAAGTGCATACAAACTATCTGCATGCCTTTGGGCAAAGGTAATTGGATTTGGTTCAAGGATAAATATTGCAAACAAATTGGTCTTAATTATTCAACTACTAGAAGAAAATATAAAAATCTTTTCCTCTGTTGTCATCATTTCATCCATTTCATTTAACTTTAAATTTATTCGAAAAGGCCACCTCAACTTCTTTTGTTGTCATTCTTGCCTCTTGACACTCATGGGTAGACATACTCTCTTAAACGAAAAGTGTTAGAAAGGTGTAGAAACTCTATTCTTCCCCTATTCATCTCCTGTCTTTTAAGGTAGGCCATTTTTTTTCCTTTTTCTTTTATATTGCTCTATTTTTATTAATAGTTGGCTTGTATCCCAATCCAAACCTTTTTTGCTCTCCACAATCTCTGACATTTTTTTTCATTCCTTATAGTGTCGACCCCAAACCTAGACCAGGCTGTCGTTCTTTTCCTATCATCTATTTAACCATCATTTTAGTAGTTTTTGATAAATGAAGCGTAGGTTTAACTGAGCCTTTTCCTATATATGTGGTGTTAACAACCTCAAAGGCATAAAAAGAGCACTCAAGTGCTTCTTCTACCACTTCCACGTAAAGGGTTGTTAAGGTTTTGGTGACCAACAAGTCATCTTCTCTAGCGACAGACTTTTCTTTCATCAATCATAAACTTTACTTTCTAATGCAAAGATGATGGCACAGCCTTAGTGGTATGAATTTGTGGTCTCCTTTACAAACTACTATAGGATGGTGAAATATCCATGACTTGGAATTCAACATTAAATATGAATAGTTGTAGTGGAATTTCTATATCTCTAATCATTTCATTCCTTGACCCATTAAAGCCTCTAACTATCATGTGACTATTTTTCATGAATGAAGGATCAGCTGGTAACTTAAAGAGCGTGATCATTGGCATTACATTAATGGATGACCTATTATCAATCAATACTTTTACCATGGGGTGGCTCTTACGCTTTATTGTAATATGTAAAGCCTTCACGCTTTTTTACCCTTTCGATGGAATCTCATCATCATTAAAGGCAATGTAGTTCGAAGCCAGTATACTTCCTACTAGATGGTTTACTTTTTTCATAAAAATGTCATAATCTACATATGCCTGATTTAGTACCCTTAATAATGCATTCTTGTGGGGCTTATAGTTTAACAACAGAGATAACAATAAAATTTTGGTTAGCATCTTGTTGAGTTGATCCACCACACTATATTCATTGTTCCTAATGATTTTCAAAAGTTCATAAGCTTTTTTCTATCACCGACCTCTTGTATTGTACTATCAAGGGCATTACAATAGGGATTTGTTCTTCATTTCTATTTCTTTGCACTTTCCTTCCTTTTTCTCTTCTCACTTGATTTGGCACCTTAAGAGTATAAATTCAACCACTTCGGGTAATTTCTCAAACACTAGATATATTAGTAGCATCCCTAAATAAAGTCATATTTTTAAGAGATTGTCTTATCATCCTTGTAAGGAAAAACACTGGGTGTATATACAATGACAGGTACTTAAGAATAGGGAGTAGACTTGCTTGCTATCGATTCTAGCTCATCATAGAAAATGATTCAAGGTTTGGGGATAAACAACCCATCAAATCCTTGACTTGCTATCATGCTAACTTCATTTTTTTATCACTATAGAATTTAACGATTCTAGTATCCATCAATCCTTAAACTATTTGTTTGAACTCTTCATAATCCTACATTAAATGACTTTTTGTCATTCCATGATATTTGCAAATCTAATCAAATCCCAAACGGTTGTCATCAATCTTAGAAACCATTGTTTAGATCATATCCACTTTGACCTAACAGTCATATACCAATTCCAAAGGAGTTTTCACCTCCTATCCACCTCTTGACTCTTTTACCCTTCTCTATCACATTGGTTGTACCCTTAGCATGGTTGGGCAATAGGTTTCCTCCAATTTTGGGCCTTGTACGAGTATTGAAATTTAATCATCCATCATTTACCAAAGCTTGCACTCTATACTTCAAAGTAGTGCAATATTTTAAAGAATGGCCCACAACACCAAAATGAGATTCATATCGGGCGTTAGGGTTGTACTATTAAAGGTACGATGATTTAAGATGTTTGATGGAGATTAGGGCTATTCGATGGCACTTCAAGAGTTATGGGTAAAGATCAATATAAGACATAGAAATTATGTTGATGGGAGTTCTTTCTTAATTGGTGTAAGGATTTTTCTATTCGAGGGTGGGATTCTTGGTGGGGAAAAAGGTCACATAATTGGGGTAAGAGTGAATTAGGTGCTTAAGGTCGGAAGTTAGGTTGGTATATTAGTGGTGGTGGTGGTGGTATATATAGGTATGGTGTTTGAGATACTTGGTTGGCAAATGGGTAGTAAGGTGTGTATGTGGGATATAGATGGTAAGGAATAAATGGTGGGCTAAAAACTATCATTTCATGGGTTTCAAATTCTTTTTTTTCTTATTTTTGGGGTTTGTTTAGTGCTTAAGGCTTATTGACCATCAATTCTGCCATTTTTTATAGCATTCTTGATTATTTCACCCGATATTACCCACTAACTTGTCATAGTAAGGGCCCTTCAAACTACTAAAAAATAGAATAGTGGTTTTTTTTTGTCAATGGTAGTTGGACCTGTACAGCTATATCTTTTCACTTATATGCATATTCCTTAAAAGTTTTGGTTATCTTTTTCTTCATATTCTGTAATGACAACTTATCTGGTATTATATCTTCAACATGCTTGTATTTTGCTATGAAGGTCTTAGCTAGATCCTTTCAAGAATGTATCTTGCTACAATTTAGTTAGACATACCACCTTGCAGCAGATTCGATAAAACTGTCTTAAAAATATGTATCAATATCTTGTCATTGTGTGTATAGCCAATCATCTTCCAGTATAACATTGTGATATGTGTAGAGGGATCGTTCCATCATATTTCTAGAAATCTAAAACTTTGAACTTTGATTGAATTATCAGATCAAACACTAAGCTTAATTCTTGGGCATTCATATTTCCATACATATCATATCTTTCTATGGCTTTCAATCTTTCTTTCAACAGATCACATTTGTTCTTCAGTTTCATACTTTCCACTGTATCATATACCCTTTTTAGCTTTTTTTGCTCTTTCAGATGATTGAGTTTGGCATGGTAATGGGATCAAATAGAGTGGATCCAGGATTGATATTCACTTGAACTGGTGATGGCCTAATGGAGGTACCAGCATATTGTTGATGAGTGACTAGTGGTGCTTGAGTAACATACGAATAAAGATATGTAAACCTAGCATACATTGGTTCTTCCATTATGGTTTCTTCCCTCATTTCATGCATTTCAACAATGCCATTTCCTTTAACCAGATAAGCCAACATCTGTTTCAACTCTTCTATTTATTTGTCCATTTTCTATTAAATTCTACAAATTGTCTCTCTAATCTCTTTTTAGGCCCTTTTCATTTTGTCTATTTGACTGACATGTTCATTTTTCACGGCTCTTGTACAAGCTTGAGTGTTGTAAGTGCACAAAACCAACTGATCTTGTTTCTTGAGACGTGTTATCCTTGAACCTGTTATTGATTCCTAAAAGTCAGAAACACATAATATGAATTATATTATTGGCCTTAAGAGATAGTTCTTATATTTAAATAAGACCTTTAATAATAACTCTTTGCTTCGAATTTTTGAGGAAAGTATACTTACAATCACCATGCCTTATCCTTTGCTAGGATGAAAAACAATGAATTCAGACAAATGATGTATGTTACGCTAGTTAGTTTCATTATTATTGTTGAAAAGATGTAAGAAGATGCTTAAATTTCTTCCTATATTTAGGCAAGGTTATTTAAAGGCATTCTCTCCTTTTCAAAAAAATTTGAGGAAAGCATATTTACAATTATCATTCATTTCTGATTGGCACCTTTAAGCATACTTTTAAATATGAGCAGGGATACTCATTTCAAGCTACTTTAAATCAATAGAAGTTTTCATTCATTCTAACAATTTTAAGTTTTATACATCATGAACTGTCTTATAACTAGGGCCATAAAAATGCTAAACTTGCTTGTGCTATCCTTTTGCTTCCTTCAAAAAAATCTAACAGAAGCTAATTATGACTCCTAGTAGGGATGGCTTTTGCCTTAAAGCTTTCGCCTTTTCCATCATCACCTCACCCTACCTGACTGCCTTTCGAATTTGAGTACTAAGGAGGTCAATATACAATTGTTCCCCTGATTTTTAGTTTTCCAATGCTTGCGGGCTTCGATTTCTTAGTTGCAAACTCATTTCCATTCAAGTTTCCTTTCTTGCTATTCTCAATGTAGGTGAGCAATGTAATCCTTATTTTCCTATAACTGCATCTTATCGCCTTGATTTCTATTCCAAGTCTATCTTTTTCCCATTAAGTATCTAGGCACCTCTTTTTTTCACATCTCAACTCTTCTTTCATTTTTTCATTCTCTTCTTGGTTCTTACTTAATTCCCTTTTGTTTGCTGCGAGGACTTTGTGTGAATCTTTCTTTTCTCGAACTATCACAGTGATTTTGTCCTTATTATCCCAAGCCTTATGCCTCCAAAAACAAACTTCTTCCCGAAGCTATTCTATATTATCCTAGCACTTACTTTCTTTTACCTTCCTTTAATTAAGCCCTTAGCTTTTGGTTTTCCAAGTGTAACTTTTTGAAGTCATTCTGAGCCAAATCTCTTTCTTTTGTTATCTTTTCTAACATATCCTTTTGCATTCCTACCTTATACTTTAGCTAACCTATTTCCTCTTATAGTCTTTAATTTTCTTTCTTCAACTTTTCCTTTTTGGCCTAGAACTCCCTTTTAACAATCTCTAATTTTGACAATGGTGGCTTAGCCTATGGGTTTACTAGCTGTACTATCTCTTGATCTGTTGGCAGCACCAAATCATTGATTAGCTTAGCTTTCCAAACTTGGTATCTTAGAGTCACATCATTTGTATTTTCTCCCAATTCTAACCTAAATGTATGCCTCCAAGCTTTGCATGACTTTAGCCATGCAGCCCTCTGTGCCCTAGTCAAACTCTACCTAATTCAATCCTTGAATCATTGGAATAAATTGCTGGGACCTATATTGTCATCTAATTATCAATGACGCATAATTGATGGCTATTTAAATATCAGGCAATGGAACCCAAGATTGATCTCTACAACTGTATAGAATAGAAACTTGAGGCATCCATGGTGCTTTCCAAGTCACCCCATTTCTTTCTAAGCATCGAAAGAAAATCATTCACTGTTTCTTTGAAAAATTCCTAGGCTATTATTTTGCTTTGAACTTGATTATTGGTGCTAAGGATTTCATATAAATCAACAACGGAGCTCAATCAATACTTCAAAAACAGCTTTGAATCCAAACATACAATAGCTAAATACAACATATCATTCTTTCTTCTCATTTCCTTTGGCAATAGTTCAAGGATCTAATGGTTTCCTCCAAAATTGTCAATTAAGGGTTAATCTTTTGTTCATACTGCACAAAGAAATCCACCACAAAGGCCTCTATATATCCTAGGGCTCTTGAAAAAAATCACCAAACCATAAATAGCCAAAGCAAACATATCCATAATTGGATTTTGATCCGAACTCTGAAGCATGACATCTAGTAATAAAGTCCATGATACCTTTTCACCATACCCTTTTTTCTTCTCAATCATTTGAACTTAATCCCTTATTATCTTTAACAACTTTTTCTTATACCCAGCCAACTTCTATGCTTTCCAATATACTCTATCAGGCTTGAGGAGCTCTAAGCTTAACATGGTAGAGTTTTCTTCTATGGTAAGTGTCATGTCTTCTTTATTGAACGTGAAGCACCAGTATGCTGGATTCCAAAACCTTATAACGGCTTTAAGCATTTGATCACTAGGTTTTAATAGTACCAAAAGAGCAATATCTCCATACTTTATTGTGAAGGTTGACTTTCTTTTCGGACTCTAATGATTCCAAATACTTTCTAAATCTATCATGTCATTTCTTTTTAAATCCAAATATACCAACTTTGGCAATTTCAAGACATACCCATCTATCAAACAATCCCTCTTTATCTGTTGCATGTTTTCTAACTAATCCTTCGCTTCCTAAAATGTCTTGCTTGTTGAAGACCCTACTTGAAACTCTTGAGATACCATGAGAGCCTTTATCGACAAATTATCTAAAACATATATCCCTGGTGTTTTATTTTAAAGAATGGTTCATGTAGCAAACAAACAAAGAAAACATGAAAAACATTAAAAACATTAGTACGAAAAAACTAAAAGAATGCAATGCAAAAAAGATAAATTAACAAGCAATTTCTTTTATTACTTTTGTAGTGATTTGGAATGATTTTTTTATTTTTTTATTGTTGTTTTTTTTCTTTCTCTTTTCGTTTTTTTTTTCTTTTGCTTTGTTTTTCTTTGTTGTCATTTTTAATGATTTCCTATGTCTTTTATTAAGAGCAATAAATCTAGAATTATCAAATTAACAGCAACACGAAAACGAGAAAGGTAATAAGTGTTCCTTCAGTGACTTAATCGAGGTAATTTCTATAAAGAGGATATGGCATGGTTCTACCTAAAGCTGGCTTCCTAAAGTTCATTATATGTAGGGTTAAGGAACTGATGTATCAAAGGTTCTCAAATTGTTCCACACATCATCATCCATCATAAACTATTGTGATACCCCAATCTTCACCCATTACAGGTACAAATAAAAATGGTTCAATTTGAGTGAGAGTGTTTCATTAGTCATTACGAAGGTTCACACCTCATGAGAGCATACTTAACTTAATGCCTTCTAATTAGGCTTAAATTTCGAGTATAGAGTTTATGCATGCAAAATGTGAGTGTGTGCAAAGGAACATATAAACCTTTCACATTTTCTTAAAAATACCTCTATCCTAGATGCCTCATAAATATAAAAACAAAATAAAGAAAATATATAATAAATGACATAATTAAAATATGCATGGATTCACATGATTAAAATATCCATGAAATGTAAAACAAACACATATTCTTTTTTTTTTTTTGCATTTTTTTGCCTTTTTTAAAAAAAAAATTTCTTGATTTTTTTTCTTTTTTTTTGGGAAAATAGAAAATTTAAAATTAATGAATTAAGATTAAACACTAATTAAGATAATTAAACCCAATTTAAGGATAATATGCAATCAATATTTAGCTTGACTCTTTAAAAATATATCTCCAATGGAGTCGACAAGCTGTTGTCATGTCTCAAGACCTAGGGTGGGTGATGCAAAAGCTGTACAAATGGGGAAATTTGAAAAACAAGGGTTAAAAGATTTTTGATGAAAATCAAAATAAAGAGTTGTCATCAATTTTTTTTAGTCTATGATTGGTCACAAAAAAAATTTGTCTTTATAATGAATTATTTAAAACGAGTTTAAAGTTTTATAAAAAGAATAAATTTATGATCTACGAAATTAAAATTTAAGTCTAAAAATTAGTTATGGATGACAAAAAGTTAGCATTCCCACAACACTTGTCGAATATGATACCAATTGATTGCATATTATTATTAAAATTTGGTTAAAACTGTCTTATTTTCCTTAGTGTTTAATGTTTAAAAGTAATTCTTTTTCATTTTTTCTTTTTTTAATAAAACAAATCAAATTTTGAAAAAAAACAAAAAAAATTGAAATTTTTTGGATAAAAATGAAAACAATTTAAATATCAAAACGTTTCTTTTACTCTTCTACAATTAGGTATAGTTTTAAAAATATTTCTACTTTAAAGATTTTCAAATTATCTTACAAAACTAAGATAACATCTCTTATAAATAATAATCATCGAGAGTTTTCCTATAATTAGTCCACATATCGATAATGATACTTACTTGAAATATTGTCTTATTTTAAAACATTTTTACTTTGAAACCATATTTTTGAAATCATATGTATGAAATGCATGAACATAATAACATGAGTACATAACACTATAATATGAATGACAAAGTATGAATGCATGACAAAATAAAAATACATGTGATGACAAGGTAAAATGGAATTCAAATGCATAATTAGTTTTTGGGTTTGAGGGATAGTTTTTTATTTGTTTTGGGGTCTAGGTTAGGGTTTAGGGTTTAGTTTGGGATTTAGGGTTTGGTTTGGGATTTGGGTTTTAAGGTTTAAGGTCTAGGGTTTAGAGTTTATGATTTAAGGTTTAAAGTTTAGGGTTTCATGAGAATTTAGGTTTTCATAGAAATGGGCATGTAATAAAAGCAAATTAAAAAAATGACATTAATGAATGCATGTGCCAAAAGCATGTCATGGGGGAAATAATTACAAAACAAGGTATTTACAAAACTAAATCACAATCAAGACATACATGTAAAAACAAGAAAAAAAATGGATCAAACATAACAAACTTTTGAAATTTGTTTGAATGTTTCATCATTTGTTAATCATTTAAACCCAACCAAATACCTTCAAAACTTAACAAAATCAATCATCAAAACAATTTTTTTTTTCATTGAAAATTTTGTTCAAACACATTAAAAACTTGCTAAGCATCATAAAAACACAATCTAATACACGAATCAATGCAACCATTATCCATAAAACAAAAAGAGAAGTTTAGCCAACCAAGATCCACCATGGTTGAACCTTTCGTATCATTTCATAATAACATTTTCACCTTATTCAAGCCAAACATGCTTCATTTACCTTCCAAATCATCACATAAGAACATATTCACCATAAGAGGAAATTTACCAAACATGAAACAAGCTAAAATAACAACGAACATATGAACAACTAGAGCTTGAGCCTAACATCATTATATATCATCAACCAAGCAAAATTTAAACTAGTCATTTAACCTTTGTAAGCAACATTTAAATGCAAATAAGACCTTAACAAGTGCCAATAGGTGGTTCGGCCATGGTCTATGAGGTTTGGCCAAACCTCCAACTTGGTTTTGCCAAACCTCCAACTTAGTTTTTAATGGTGGATTGTTTTGTTTTTTGTTTGTTTTCTAGCTTCACTCCAACTATTTGATTAGTTGGGTGAAATTTGATTCAAACTTTGAACAAGAAAATGAACTAGAATCCTTCAAGAATAACAACAAAGAAATGAATGAAACAAAATGAAAATACAATGAAAAATGTGATGAGGATGCATGAAATGCAAAGATGGATGTTGAAAAATTATACTTTCAAGCAAGCAAAGCACTAAAAATTTTTTCTTCTTTTTCCTTCACCTTTTTTTTTCTTTCTCTCATCTGTTTTCTCACGAACTTTCCTCTAGTTTTTCAATGCAAAAAAATCTCTCCTGCTCCAGAAGAAGTTGGAAAAAATATCCCATGCAATTGAATCTTGGCCTTAGGATCAAAAGTTCATCCAAGGGCCAAAATTTTCTATTATTTTGGTTTCAATGAGTCAACTTTAACTATTGGATCAAGATTCCTAATATGATCTAATGGCCTAGATTGCTTACTGCAAAGATTGGATTTTTACAGTCATTAAACCAATTGAAAAGATCATTTTGGCCATAATACAAAGTTTTCAATCTTTAGGTCATTTCCCTAGAAATAATGCTCTCATGTTTACTTTTACCATTTTAAAAGCACTAAAAATCATAAAATAATGTGTAGGGCTGTGCAGAAATCGAGTTTAACCGAAAAAAATTGATCAAAAAATCGATATATAGGTTAAATCGATCTTGGTTTTTTCAGTTATATATATTAAATCGATTAGGATTTCGATTAAATCGATTTAGGAGGTCGGTTTTTTGTTTCAAGATTATGAACCAAATTGACTGAAAAAATTGATTAAATTTTATTAAAATAATTTATATTTTTATTAATATAATTTTAATATTCTTTTAGTTCTTTTGTCTTTTACATTTGCTAAAAGATTCTCATCACCTGTTCACCTTCACCCACCTAATCCCATATGCCAAACCCAGACTGCTAAACACCTATTTAGGCTGTAATTAGTTAAGATATTTGTTGTTGCTTGTTAAATGTTGTTTGAGAATTAGACTTTATGGATTGTAATTTGCTATATATTGTATGTGTTGTGTAATTCATATAGTTCATAAACATAAGCTTCATAAAATCTAAACATAAACTTCATAAACACAAGCTTCAGACACTATAAATTTAGTCTCAAGCACTAAATCAATAAGTAATACACAATACACAGTAAGTCTACATATCAAATAACATCAGTGAGCAACACATAGCTTTATAAAGTTTAAGTCAATGAGCAATACATAAGCTCTAAGTCATTGACACACAAGCTCTATATCAATGAGCAATACATTAATCCTAAATAATTACTATAATTTTTTTGGAATATTGAAGGCGTCATAAAAATATATGAAGGAATTATTGAAGAAGTTTTTGACTAAAAATACCTTCAATAACACCATTAAAATATATTTTTTTTAGTTATTCAAAGTATTTTTGGCAAAAAAATACCTTGAGTAAACATGTTATAAAAATTTATGAGTGAATTATTGAAGGTATTTTTGGTTAGAAACCCCTTCAATAACCTCATTCAATATTTTTTTTTGAGATTATTCAAGGTATTTTTGACGAAAAACTCATTAAGTAGTCACGTCATAAAAATTTATAAGGGGATTATTGAAGTGGTTTTTGGCTAGAAACGCCTTCAACAACCCCATTAAAATTTTTTTTCAAGATTATTCAAGGCATTTTTAGTCAAAAACGTATTGAGTAATTACCTCATAAAAATTTATGAAGGGAATATTGAATGTGTTTTTAGCTAAAAATACCTTTAATAACCCCATTAAATTTTTTTTTCAGAATTATTCAAGGTGTTTTTTGCCAAAAATACCTTGAGTAATCACCTTATAAGAATTTATGAAGGAATTATTGAAAACATTTTGGCCAGAAACGCCTTCAATAATCCTATTAAAAAAAATTTTCATGACTATTCAAGGCATTAAAAAATGCCTTGAGTAATCACCTTATAAAAATTATAAGAGGATTATTGAAGGCGTTTTTGGCTAGAAATCAAAATCGATTATATCGAAAAAAATCAACCAAAACTGACAAGATTAAATTGATTCGATTTTCTCAATTTTTTTTTGATTATTTGGTTGGTTCAGTTTTATTTATAGATTAATTTGGGTAAATTGATTTTTGAATTTTTTGAACCAAATTAACTGAACCGACTGTTTAGTCCTAATAGTATGAAATTAAGATTTGAAAATTTTCTTAAAAATTCGACCTCGAAAAAGTTAAATTATGAAATTACCCATAAAGTGTATTT